ACCTTTGTGTACACTGTATTGTCACAAATTAAGGAACTTGATAGGCGTGATAGGAATGACAGCCGTCACTCGCACCCAGCAACAACGTACGGGATCACCATCAGGGATCAATAGGTGCGCACTTTCCCCGAGCACTTCCCTCCGACTCCTCGTTTTTAGAACTTGAGTCATGTAGGATAGTGTGTATATTGTATACACCTGGCCGGCCTGGCCGGCTGGACGGCCTGTAATTATAGAAGAGGAATAAACACGCATTTAACTCTAATCGGGTAGGTATAAACGGTGTGTCCCTTAGCTTATTACGCCTCCCCCCGTGACTAGTCGCGAACGATTAGTCTTATCCTACCACGGGCTATGCTTCCCACAAAAACTGCCTGACTCGTCTCTGTAATCTGATATGCGAACATCGAGTTTTGGATGTGGATTCTTGATACTTGACCAACGCGCACTTTGTAGTTTATTTTTATCATATCACATTGCCTGACAATAACTTTATGACAAACTGTTGTTCGTTACATAACTCGAATACGGTTCTGTTTGTAACCGAAAGTCCTTGTAAATATTTAGGTGACTTCCTTTAGGGATTTATAGCACGCAAAGGTCTAGGGTCGTTCGTGAAAATGCTCTAATGCCCGTTGGCTGTTAATTCGCCGACATAAAAAAAGTATATAACATTGACGCATGATTTATTAAACTTATGACTGTTGAACGATTGTAGGTTTGTGTGCTATAAAGTATTTCGCGTGGTTTCAAAAATTCTGCTTATGATCTTTGGAAGTTTGATAATATTATAAAACAACTACTTGACTAGTTCACGTTACGTACGACTGAACGTTAAAAGTAGTATTGTATCAGAGCCGGGTTCCAACTTTTATTACCTACTTATCGCCGGTGTAATGTGGAAGTATTCATACTTTAGCCTTTCGTCTAGGACTGGGGTAGCCGAGCTCTTCCCGCCTAAAGGCAACGCAACTGCATCCAGTGGGTTTTATTTATGTCGATGGGCGTCCGAAATTACTCTCAAGATGTATCGGGAAGAGGTGGTAATTTTGAACCTGCTGATAATTTGGAACCCCTTAATATCCCAGGAACAGACAACGAAGTCTGTTGTAAACCTATGAAATTCGGTCGAACTGATGTCATTGAACGTTTAACGCATCGAGTTTGGACCTGTTATAAGAAGTTGAAATTTTGTGTCACCTGCAAATGTTTTTTACTTTTATTTCCTAATACTGTCAAAACTTTTGTTTCTGTCTAAAGTATATACGCCTAAGTTTACATTGTCAGAGGTAAGTTTTAATATTTATTTGAACTAGTTTTTGTTTTCTTGATTAATTGGTAACAAATTAAGGGTTTATTTTTGGAACCGGTAGGTGCAGGTAATGTGGAACCGGGTTTCAAATTACCCGCATTACTTTTTGACCGGGTCTCCTTACAAACAGCAACTTGAGTAGTCAACGGGTCTATAGCGCAGAGAGGAAGAAGTCGGAGAGAGGTCGGGGAAGCGCTCGTGGGCATAGTGGTTGTCAGAGTGTTGCAAAGTCTTCTAGAACTCCTCTAAACAGCGAGGATTCGACCTCTTCGGATTCTGAATGTTCTGTTTCTTCACGTGATACTGTAATGTCAGAAAATGTTACCACGCATGCCCAGCCCACAAATCAAGATGAATCTTGTTGCATTTTTTGCTCTGAAAATTACTCCAACAATCAACAGGGTGAAACTTGGATTCGTTGCCAATCATATAGGTTGTGGGCACATATTGAATGCTTAGGATGTGACGCGGAGTATTATATTTATGAGTTTTGTATGTAAATTTATTTCATACTTGTAATTTGGAACCCGGGTTCCATAATACCAGCACCCGAGCTTTGAACACATTTTTTTATGTTTCCTAGAAAGCAATTTTTTCCTATAATGAGTGATTTTATTTTATAAATTAGTTTTTCATATAAAAGTTAATAAGTTTTTAAATATATAGAGACAGTTTTGTGATTTTATAATCGATTGAATTTCAAATATGGTTTTAGTAGAATTCTCTTCACATTTTATGAAAAAGTATATCAAATATGGTTTAATATGTTTTCACCCAAGAAACGCCAGCAATCCAAACTTGTCTAGTGTAATAATATTACCGCTAACAGATATTAAACACGGGATTTTAAACGATAAAACATACATTTTCACTGAAAGTTCTGAACGAGGCTTTAGACCACTTGTTTATCAAGTGTAAGTCGTATATTTGTGAAGAACGTTATGGATGGCAGAAACAGTAGGAGAGTAAAACAATAAAGTTATTTGCGAAAATTGAGTATTATGCACGATACCCCTCTGAAATTGTTAGGAGCGATGTTATACCACGCGGTGTTTGCTCGGCCTTGTGAATATTTAACCAAAGCCCCCGGGAGACGGCCGAGGTCGGACTTACGTTCGAAGTCGAGCGCGCTAGCAGAGAGTTGGCTTGCGTTTTTTTTTTGTACCCACTCTAAACAAACTGCCCATTAATTGAATTAATGATTACACTCCTTGTTGGCCCGATTAACGTCTATTACGACGTGTAGCTGCTTTTTTAACGGATACTATTGTGTTTTCTTTATTTATTTTCTAATTTGTGGACTTTATGGTCTAAGGTCCGAATCTAAATCGACCTTCACCGAGCTGATAATAGAATAATTTTTTTTTTATTTTAAATTTAGTATGTTAGAAAATATATTAAAACTGGGTTGCCTAAAAATCCTGGACAGAATATTTTTGATAATTTAAAAAAAAAAGAATTTTCATGAAATGTTGCAACATCATCGAAATGACGACGCCTAAATGTACATTACATCTTATGTTTTTATCTGCTGACGACAGTGCGGCTATAATTCAAAGTGCTGAACACGGCCTTGAAGGCGAATTAAATTTGACAATAAAACAAATGATCGAAGAATTGCACAACAGTAATTTACAGGCTAATGTTTCAAAGCTGCACGAAGACTTTAAATTTAAATGTAGTGGACAGAGGAAACCAAATTGAATAATAGTTGACTATTATGTTCTGTAATTTACTTCTTACAATGAGTGACTTTCATATCTTTTGATTGACATTGTTTCGATTTTATTATATAATTTTGACTGTAAGGTACATTTATATCCTATTAGTAATATCATAAACCATATTTTAATATACTTGTACTGACGACATTTTAGCGAACGTATTATTTTTGCACAGCACGTGTTGTAAAATAGGCAAAAAGTAGTGATGTAAATAAGTAGTACACACCTTATGGCTACGAAATATAGGTTATTTCGTAAATAAAACATTATTATTATTTCATTTAACTGCTCTATGAACCATGTATGCGCATTTATTAAAATAAGTCCTTGACACAACCAAGTTAAGACCAAATAACGTTGGATACTCTAAAATATTCACGAGTCATATCATCTCTCGGGAGGACTTAATTATAAATAATCCAATCGAGTGTACGAATAATGGTAGCTGTTTAATAATGTTATTTTTTATGTAAGTGCTGCAAACTCGTTAGGTATATAAAAACTTTTACGACCGCGTTAAATAAATTTAATGTTATGTAAAGCACTTAACTAACATTAAATATATAAATGTATTGAACTCATCCATTCGCAAAGTCCTGTTTTAATGATAGATTGGGTTTGCGCAGTTGCTAAGCGATTTCCGTGTAGCGGGCTATAGATTCGATTCTCGCTTGAGACAAGTATTTGTTCATATAGGTAATTTATTATTAATTAATATACTTGTAGTTAAATAATTCTTTTAGATCTAGGTGTTGATCCCTCAACAATATGTGGTCTACAATATGTGAAAAACACTGGCTTATTTTATCGTAAATTAGTGATAATGTTCTTTAATAAAAATAAAGATTGATGAATAATACATCTGAAACAAAAGTTATTCACTAAGTAACGTCTCTGGTTGCGATTGATAAATAGAAATCCAATAGAGATCATAGATAATCATCTTCAATAAGCTATATGAATCATAGGGCTGCAAAAGCTTAACATAGGTCAGTAAAAGTTGTCATGAAGCTAACAAGATAATAATTTGTTTGCCCCAAACTACTCGTGTCTTTCTACGAATTCTGTTTGTACTGCATTCGTTTGTCCAGAACTAAACGCAAGCGGTCAATCTAATACGTAATTAGACCATTTAGAGCGACGGGCGACATTGGGCGAATGCGTCCGAGCTCTCATTAATATCTCCAGCGCCGAGTTTTTTGCCACCATTGCCCTAAACGTCACTCCAGTCTTGGACGGCGAGCGGAATTCTCGTTTCGGAAACGGTCGTATGTTATGATTCTCGCTAAACAATTATGTGTCTTTATTGACAAGTTTATTATTGGTTTAGGTTTAGTTATATTTGTTACATACAAATGTTCATTCTTGGGTTAGTTACGGACGTTTGAATCCAAATACTTTATTTGTCTCTGTTTTATGATTTTCTCACAGTACTGCGTTCGTGTGTTTAATTTAAAATGTTTTAAGTGTAAACTTTAAATTATTCTAACAGTTCTATTAATATAGCATAATCAAACATTATCAGTCTGCAATGATCAAATTAAAGAAAAGAAAGACGTTTAATCATAACTCCAGATTATTTTTCATGTGGAAATTACAAATTACTATAAAATGTTTCAAGTATCGCTTATTTATTAATTACGAATTGTACAACAAAGTCGATGGTTAAGTTGGTATTACATATATCACTACATAGTATAAAACAACGTCGTCCTGCTGTCTGTCTGTCTCTACGTATGCTTAGATCTTTAAAAGTACGCAACGGATCTTGATGCAGTTTTTTTTTTACTAGATAGAGGGATTCAAGAGGAAGATTTATATGTATAATACATTGCACTCGTGTGAACCCGGGGCGGATCGCTAGTTATTTTATACCAAAATAACTTTTTAGATTATCCTTATACAGCGAAACAAATAAAAATTGAATTAAAAATAGAATAAAAAAACAAAGTCATCAGGTGTCAGATGACGTCATCTCTTCCCCTTTCTAAACATTCACTGTGGTACATCAGACCGGGCAATAGAAGATCAGCTCGTCGACGGTGCAAGGCTTGTGTGCAGCATTCCGATGCCACCTGGCGCTTGCTTCTGCCCATACTCCTCGGCACGTGTCGCGCCATCGACATCCACGTGACCCCTTCTGGCTCCTGGCCAGCCCTCTTCACAGACGGCGCGTTGTCGCACAGAAACGCCAAAGTCGTGGCAAGTCTCCTGCCACAATAGAATTGTCCGTACTCCCCACGGCAGGGCACAGCTGCCAGTAGAACAGCGAACATCAGCAGAATGATAGTTTGAGCCATGTCTCCTTTAAGGTCGGTGAAGGAATGTGCTTTTGGAAAGTAAAATGCCAGTATTTATAATGAAAAATCTTCCCTATCAATGTGTATCCCACTTTCCTTCATGTTCCCAGTCATGTGTACTAATTGTTTACGAAATTTCGACATTGACGTAGGATGTGTGACGTAGTTCACGCCCCGGTCGTTAGGTAAGGTATTTAAAAATGTTTTTCTCGTAGAAATGTTTAAGTGCCTCTGACATAAACCTCTGAGTAAAATCCTCGTAATGAAATTAAATAGAGTCTTTCTACATAAAGACCAGAAATTGCATATAATAGGATTTTTAGGTAGTACGGCACTTTGAACTAACATTAATTAATTGAATCCGCAATACCGAACCGCGGTCCGAAACTTATATTATCGACGTACTTAGGTACAGAGGCGGCTAACTAAAAGTGGGATTCGGCTGCTCAAGTCTCTTGCAAGTTCTAAGGACATCGCTCAAAGTTAACCATATAAATATTAAATAGTATCTGTAAGGTCGTGTATAAAGAACAATGCCCACTTCCCATACATTTAAAAACCTGATAATGAAAGTGTATGTATAGTTACAAGGTATAGCAGAAAGACTACCTTTAAGTTAGTAAATTAATATCATATAGTCATTTTTACGATTGCTGGTCTACGAAGTCCAAAAATTATAAAAAAATTTTACTTTTTAGGTTAGGATTTGCAGTTACCTAATATAACGAAATAAATGTGCTAGAACTAACTATTTACGCTCAAGTTTATTCTAAAATAATAATATTAGCCTATCTAGTCTAAAACGTCTTTTTTACTTGTGAATTCCTAAAAACCGACTGCCCTTACGTCACTGCTTACACTCGATTATTGTCACTATAAATTGAGTGAAGAGCATTATCTGCTATTTCAACAGCTCACATAAGTACTTACTAAAAAAACGTAAGTTAAAAGTGATCATTTATCTGCCCTACACATTTCATTGGCCTGCACTACAATATATAATAATCGATAATTATAATACCTGATGAATAAAACGAGGGAAAAAATAAAACACTATGTTACAGTGGAATGCTTTATTAATTATCATCATCTTCACTTAAATGTCTTATAAAAAAAAACTATGTTATCTAGAAATTCTGCTATAACAGAGATATTTTCTTGATAGTTCATCCGAAGTACCACCTAGTCATAACATGAGTGCAACATCCTATGGTTCGCCAACCAACTAAACAGTTACAACAGTATTTGACTATACTAGCTCTGCCAGACACATTATTTTATATTAAAATGTAGACAATATTGTTTTCTTTAAATGTGCCAGGACTTAATTTTTCCTCTTATTAGTGTTATGTCACCACATCCTCTCAGATTATTCCTAGAAAACTCCTGTGTCCCTACATATTTCTATTCTATATGATCCATGAAAGCGAATATGTTCGCCATAATAAGATTTGGCTTGCCTTATTTGGTACCTAATGCAAATAGTATAAGTTCACTAATAACTTAATCTCAGAAACATAAAAAATAAATTATCTTCAGTAGAAAAACACCACAAACTTCAGCAACATGCCTAATATGTGTGGCAGCACTCTTACAACTCATCCAACATGAATGGCATATTCTATCAGATGATGATTATCTACAAAAGAAAACTATCTACAAAAGAAGTAATAAAGCAATAATTATTATTCATTTTAAAAATATATTTAAAAAAAAATCAATTATGTATTTATTTGTGGTTAAAATTATTACAACATCAGTCAATTAATAACAGATTAATTTACATCTAAAATACAAAAAAAAGAGAAATAATCTAGAGTAATAGTATCAAGTTTTATACTGGCAAATGATTAACAATGTAGAAACATGAATATGTGATGTTGTGAACTTGTTTGTATAATAGCATTTATCTGTCTTTGCTTTTCTGAAGGATTATCAAAAACTGTTCTTCGACCTGGTTGAGATAATCCTGAAGCTTGAGCAACATCACAGCTTGTTAATTCCTGGTTTATTATTCTCATAAAGAGTTCATTACAAGATTTACAAATATAATCTTCCTCAGTAATCTGAAATAAAAAACATATAGATCTTTTGAACAGTTGTTTGTGTTATGTCACAGGTATAATTTATAGGAGCTTTGTTAGTTTGATTATGACATGATTGAAATTTTTAGATTAAAAATAATAAACATAAATACTCACAATTACTGGCGAATACCGATGAGTATGAGTCACTCGCAGAACTGTCAAATGTCAAAAAAATCCATTTACGAGAGCCGTGCGAACTTTATTACATGTTGCATTAATAATTTATTATTTTATTTTTAATAAATCTATACTACTAATAAGATTGATCTTAATTTTTATACAAATACTATTAATTACGTGCTTACTCACTTCTCTAACACGTAAAAACACGTACAAAACTCAGAAAAAGTTGAATACAGTCAAGTAGGTAGTGTGAAAAATGGAACGGCCTATGCAAAGGATTGTTAAGGTGTGTTCAAAACATGGTAATATGTTTTTTACCCTTGAAGTAAAATAAGCGTAAAGAAATATCAAAAAATATTTTTTTCCCGACCTTCTTTTAACATTGTGATTAGTGTAATTACTATAAAATGAAATTAGCTAAATTTTAATATTTATTTCATCTCTATACACAATCAGGTCAAAAATGGGCATTGTTCTTTGTTATGGTGAATGACATTTAACGTATATAATTAATAGAAAATATTGTTACTAAATACAAAAACAGTTAAATTCATCCAAGATCCGAAAATATACCTTGTGATTGATTTTATCTTTATTAAGACGGTAGACTGAAAACTAAGTTGGGGAAAGGGAGCGAAAGGGCAGGTATAAAGAGATAGTGAACATTAAATATCTGTGAACTAGTGAATCTTTGTGTATTAATTAATATTATATAGAATAGATTCCAATACAGGTAGTATTGGAATCTATTTATAGAATGGTGACATTGTAGGAGACGACCAAATGTTTTGTTGGAAATTTGCTCTGAAACAGGAAACTATGGAGACATAGAAAATAACTGATCGATCACCTGGTCTCATAATCAAAACAAGTTACAGAATGTTCCAGAATTTTTTGCCAAACTTAAAATTATTAATGCGTGAATAAATTTTATCTGTTGAAGTAAAACTTCTTTAGGCGCGACTAGGGAGTAACTCGGATTTTTTCTGACGGAAGTAACGTCTATATTTATATTAATATTTTAAAAATATGACATATACTTATAACTAAAGTTTCTAAATAATTAATCATAATTTATTTATTACATTACATTAATCATTTCAGTGATATATGCCGTCAACGCCAAAGAAGTTTAACTTCAATCGCGCGTAAAGGTTACACGCACACACTTTTTGTTTATAAAAACACTAAACTTTGAGCTAAATCTGAACTGTAGACGGGATTGTAATTTGATAATATTTGTTTAGATAATTATCCCCGGTGTCTGCTTTTTGGGTATTACAATTAATATACTCACCAGTAACAATAGCTACCGCTGGTAACTGATCTACGATGTTTAGTGGAATTGCTTGTACTGGTCGATAATGATTGATTCTTCCTCCTTCTTCTTAAAACATTGTGTGAACTGCTGTTTTGTCAAACGATCATATTTGTAAACTCAAAGTTCATGGGTGTTTAGGGTCTTGGATGATTATTTATTGTGTTTACAAGAATATAATATATTGTTGAGTAATTTGAATTCGCGACGTTTCTATCCTGCCCGTGACCTATTAAGTGTGTGTGTTTACTTCAGTGTGAATCTCTCGATGGGCGATGTTGTTATGCTTCCTTAAAAACCAAAGTTGGCAGTCTTCTATGCTTAGTGTTTAAATTTATCTGTACCTACTCGTACAGGCGTCAATTGCTATCGAAATAGAAGATTCATATAACGCAGCTTGTGGGCTTTTGATACATTTTAATCTTGAAAGAAATCCCTTTATTAATATATAAGTGTGAAATTCTTTATGTAGCACAAGGGTAGTGAAAATCAGCAAGATTGATATGTATGATTTATGTCGTGGAATTGAATGACAAGTCACTAATCATCACTTAGAGTCCAGACATTATTGCCAAGGTGGTTTTAGCAATGACCCCTTCCGTTTTGTAATGATTTGTTAAAATTTATTCATCTCAAGAAATTATTATCCACGGAAATGGTGTCACCTTGTCGACATCTACCTACGCCCTTTCGCGAACGCTACGCCGTAGCTCATGAATATTTAACGTTTCGCGATTCGTATAAAACGGGGCCGATTTCTGATCCTCGACACACTTCCCACCGGTCCCTCGTAGCAAACGGATCAGAGCTGATCAGCAGCCAAAATCACTATGAAGAACTCCATGACGCTCGCTCTCGTGTTCCTCTTCGGTGCGTTGGTCGTGGTCAGCTGTGACAGCTACGGGCAGGTCTACTGCGGCAGGAGGCTGGCTAATACCCTCGCCCTGCTTTGCGAGAACAACCTTCTGGTCAAAAGGACCATGGCCAAAGACATGCCTGATGGCTTCGGGTGGCCTTGGATACCCCAACACAGGGCCAACGCCCTCGGCAGGGCCAAACGCCAGGTCGTCTCGGAGTGCTGCGAAAAGGCCTGCACCATCGACGAACTGCTCTCCTACTGCTAATGCTGACTGAACCTTCGCTTCACACTTAACAGAGTTGTAACGACTGATTAGATTTAATAGAAACATTTATGGATTGTTGATGAATTGAATATAATATTTATTATTACAACGTACGTTTTGTTATTTACCGCTTAAATGAAACCCAGTCGTGGATGAATTTTCTATTATTTATTTATTCATTCAATTTTTACATTACGACTGAGAAATTTTACTTACTGTTTATGTTAACATGTATTGAATGCATGTTTACCGGAATTCAAAATCTTACCTTCGCAATTTCACATTTGCTTCGGTGGCGACGGCCTCAGAAATATGCAACACTATACTGTGCTGCATGATATTTGACCTTGCAACTCTTTACTCTCTACTCGTGTCTCCGGAACGCGGTCGAGGTCGCACCGCTGATACATCGAATTTAACAGTAATACTTAGTTCTTTTTACGAAGACTACGAACTTAGATACCGCTATGGAAAATGGAAAAAATGTAATATAAAGTTTATTTTACACAAGTTCATTAAACATGATTATTACTTCTGTCTGTTCTGGACCTATGGGGAACAGGCAGGTTAAGAAAGGAAGGAAGATATGTATATTTATTAACCGAGAAAATTGACGCATATAAAAAAAATATAGTAATACATACTACAGTAAAACAAAATCAATTCGAAATTCAAATAAAACCTATGCTGTACATTGAAATAAACTGAAAATAAATGAAATTTCAAACGAAAAGAACTATTTGTACGCCCTATTTCCGGAAAATAAGGTCAGCTAAGCATTATGCTGCACCGGAAGTCAAAACGCTAACACAACGCTGATTTGCAGACTTTCATACTTTAGATACGAGGACTTTGATGATATACAGTCCTATAAACAGTGATGTAATGTTAATAATATGTTACTTATTAAAAAATTAGACGAAAGATAAAAAATTAAACGATAGAAAGTCTCTAAATTAAAAGCAATTACGACTAGAAAAACGAACGATACACATTAAAAATATGGCGGATCTCCTCTCCTTCGTGCCCTCTAACGTATAAAAAACCATGGTATTTTATACTACCACTAGCGAGTCGCCGCGGCTTCGTACGGGTGCAATGTATTATACAAATAAACCTTCCTCTTGAATCACTCTATCTAGGTAAAAAAACCGCATTAAGATCCGTTGCGTAGTTTTAAAGATCTAAGCATACATAGGGGCAGATAGACACCGGGACGACTTTGTTTTATACTATATAGTGATGTAAAAATTATGATTCTTTTTAAAATATAAAATATAAAACGTTTTCCTATCGTGTGGTTAAAGATAAATAAATGCGAAAAGACACAAAATTATAATATTAATAACAATTCAAAAAACAATACCAGTACTAACAAAACAAAAAATGAAAGCAATAAAAATAAAAAAATGTTTTATTTTTTATTTCAATGACCAAAAATCTCCCCTGACACTATACAACCACCGCTACCCACAGGCCTCTTTATATGGTTGAATATGGCAATGTGGCGGTAACTTTATTATTAATAAGCTGGTAAAATAGCTGAAATTTTATCTGCTGACAACATGAACACAATGAAATCCACAATGTGGGCAATATACATCACTTGGACAGTCCATAATTTACTATTTACACACTTAATAACATACTTTATTTCGTTTGCAAGAAATACTGGTAATTATTTTTTTATACATGTTAAAAGATAGCAAGCATGGTTCTGATGGAATTTTCTGATTGGCGTATCTTTATATATAAAAACCCCATAAAAATAAAGATAATTAAAAAAAATGGTTCTGATGAGTGATTAACGCAGACCATAGACGTCTACAATACCTTACGGGTTGCAGATGGGTTGCCAACTCTAAAAGACACACACACACTCACCAGACGAAAGAGCGAACGCATGATACTTCCGTTTCACGCAGATCTCCTGCGAGGCCGTGGTACTTCCCCGGACGAGCCTGCCCATTTGTACAACAGCAGAAGCTGCTGCGTGGCAGTACACACTTAACTTATTTGAGACAACCAACCACTTGTCGAAATATTACATAAGCAGTTTAACCCGGAAGAGAACTTTCCCATAAACCTGTTTCATATTCATCACTTGTCTCATTTACAGTTCGTTCGAATTTGTGTAAATGTAACATTTGCGGATTCGCCATCATATCACATGTCTATATACATATATAGAGACCATTTTTATTTTTATTTTCGTATATTGTCATCGGGACTGAACAAGGATGCATAATTGCAGAGTCTTAATTCTAAAGTAGCAGGTTGTAATTCAGTTTGCAAGATATGAATTAACAATCTAATAAAGAATACAAGTTAAATAAAAGCTCGCTAAAAGAATTTAAGACGTGTAAGAACTTGTAATTGTATTGAGCTAACATAACTAGTAGCTATATTTAAATATCTATATTATAAAGTTATACAATCAGTTATTTGTACGTATTCGGCATTTTTTTCATTTTTTTTAAACATTGCCCTTTCTTTAGGATAACATTATCCTTACCAAGATTGAGTAAAGGTCTCCTGGCTACGTCACTCACCGAACGAAATATAAAAATACAAATCAGTCGTTATAAAATACCTTTGTATAGTTTAAATTTATATTTTGAAGTTTTTATTCGTATCTTCATATTATATAACACTTCTGTACGTATAATGTACCACCACTAAACAATCCACTAAAGAATAATCTCGAAAACATATTCTGTAAAGGTTTAAAAATTTTAAATTAAAAAACTGTATTGTACATTTCTAACATGGCTTTATTTTATTCGAATTATTAATTTTTAGATCAAGTCCAAAGACATGAATTGCCACATATAACACGTTAACGTTTTGTACCATAAAGATACCGTTCCTTTACTATAAATTATACAATGGTTAAATGTGCGTTATTTACAATTTTCGAAATAAGAACGTGCAAAGCCGCGCGGACGAGCTAGTCTCGCATGAGCGAAACGCGTCGACGTTGTCAGTCATTCGCGCGTACAAGAATAGAACGTGTAACCTTTCAAAATTAGAATAACCCATAGGTGTTAACGGTTAAACAACAACTGCCTACGCGATATTACGTATTAAATCAATCAAATACAATCAGTTCACGCTACATTTGACTGTCGAATACTAATTATCTTTGAGCGTATAAAAACCTACGAAGCGTCACATCAGTCACATTCCTCGACACAACTCTAATCGTAAAGTTGGCAGCATGAAGCGTCCAGTTGCCCTCCTGTTCTTCTGCGGCATGTTGGCAGTGGTCACCAGCCAAGATGGCTTCGGGCAGGTGTACTGCGGCAGACGGCTGGCGAGCACCCTCGCTATGTTATGCGAGAACACCCTCCTGGTCAAAAGGGGCATGGCGGTGGAGTTCGAATGGCCCTGGATCGGTCAGCAAACGGCCACCGCCCTCGGCAGGAGCAAGCGCCAAGTGGTCTCCGAGTGTTGTGGCAAACCGTGCGCCATCGACGAGTTACTGTCCTACTGCTGAGCAAGACAGTAGATCCATCAACGACCTTAAGTCCCTTTGAAACTATCGAGAGGGAGATGTCGTATCGACTGACTTTTTCGTTTATTTAACAACAACGTAATTCTTTATTATATACAATTGTACCGTACGTGTGTATGTCATTGAACTCCTCTTAAACGGCTGGATCGATTTTAATGAAATTTTTTGTGTCTTCACGTCGATTTGAAATGATTTAGATTCTCATTTTTTTTTTAATTTATCGGATTTAAGTCGTATGTACACAACAACGTATGTCTGGTCCGCTAGTGAAAATACATAGTTTTACCAACACTTATCATACTTTTTTGTTCAGTATTTTACACTACAAAATCATTTTGAATGGTTGTTCTTGCCCTTCAATATTTGTTAATCGACACTTCGACTAAATGGCTTATATTTTTTTTAAGAATAAATTTTAATTTTTTTCCCCCTGCGGTGCAAGTGCTAAATTAAAAGTAAGTGCGAGTCGGACTCGCACACGAAGGGTTCCGCACCATTATCTATAAAACCGGCAAAAAAATCATTTCTGTTGTATGAGAGCCCCACTTAAATATTTTTATCCTGTTTTTTAGTATTTTTGTTATATCGGCAACAGAAATACATCGTCTGTGAAAATTTCAAATGTCTAACTATCAAGGTTCATAACATACAGCCTAGTGGCTGACGTACAGACAGACAGACAGCGGAGTCTTAGTATTAGGGTCCCTTTTTACCCTTTGGGTACGGAACCCTAAAAAAGTGGCTCCGGCGCCAGTTCGGGACCAATACTGGTGAGACTGACGGATAATTGTTCAGGATCTGGGTGTTTATTCCCGAGGCAATAACATCCCAAAACCTAGCCAATACCTTTATGACTCACAAGTTTTGTTTAAGGACAAGAGAAAAAGGATAGTTCATATATTTTAACCGCGTTTAATATTAATATAGCAAAATACGGAATTCTCATTGACGCCAATCTCGTCAGGCGTTATATAAGAAATGTCGATGTCACAGAAAAACAATTTCCAAGTTCAAACAATGTAACATTTTCCTCGTTAAAAAGAGATGCACAACTATGCGAGCACGAGCCATTGGCTAAGAAAACTGCTTTGCGCAAAAAAATAAAAGTTTACTTGATAATCTAGATGTGGCATGTAGTCGATAGTTGCTTGGCATTTTTTTTTTAATTTTTAGGCTTTTTGTACAATGTGAGCTGTAAGTAAACTATGGCGTCAATAACGAAATATTAAAAAAAAATTAAGAAGTATATTTGAGAGAAATACGTACGAAAACAGATTCTTTTTTGTTTTGTATTCTCGCTTTGTATTTTACTTTAATTTATAAGCTTGGCACTCATTTATCTTATTACATGCCATAACATTAATTAGTATCTTAATGCAATTTAAAAAACTCAAGAATTCGATTGAGTAATTAAAGTACTATCGCAATTGAGTTCTGTTAGTTCGGTAGTGAAAAAGGAAAAAATAAATAATAATAATAATATTAACCAATGTCACTTTCAGTGATGACGTAGATCGGTGCAAAGTAATACGGTTCTAGCTCAAGGCGGGCTTCCCGCTGCGAATTTAACGTTTTTTTTTTCTTCTAACTAACTTTATTCGAACACGGGCGCCGTAATGAGGTCTTTACAAAGCGTTTCGACGTCCAACCGTTCTGCATCTTAACACTAATAAAGTAACCTTAATAGTAGAAGTGGATTTTCTTTTATGTTTGACGAAATTGGTATCTGTAACAACTTTCTTAATATTCAATTAGCGAAGAGGAAGATATATTATATTTGTAATGTTCATTCACATTTTCAAAAGGACTACTCGTATGCGGCCCGGTTGAACACAAATCTCGTTTTAAAACCCCGTTGACGACCATTAATGTATTTGAGGTTTTCTGATTGCTACATTTTCCATACATTTGATTCGCTCTCGTATTTTAACGCCCGCTAATTTTATGACTGAATAAGCAATGTGAAAATTGAACAGGTTTATTAAAAATATAAATCTTCGGCTACTGTTTCGTCGTATCGGATTTTATTATATAATTCAGAGTAACTTCGAATAAAGCTCTCTCCAAGGCTCGCTGACTGGCTTTCAGCTTGTGGAATAATTTCACCAAAAACATGAGCACCCCAATCGAATTCTTCGGTGGGTTTCCTGTCAGCTGATTCTGCATGGGTAAAATTTCAATGGATCATCAAAGATTCAGTTTAACTTTGACACTGAGATGTTAAACAATGCTGTACATCTACTGCCTGCGAATACTGCAAACTGTTCGACACGTCGGCAATTATGGAGCAAAATAAACGCGATGAAAACCGTTCATTAGTTATACTTAACGATGAGTCTCCGCCTAACTTCGGGATAGCCGCGGAAGCTCGCGTACACAAGAAACAACAAACGATACGTGTATAAGCAAAAACGGTTAACCTATTGTGACCAATCACTACGGGCTGAAATAAAAAAGAAACCTTTTTCTAAACTCACTCCGTAAGCATGGCGGTAGCTCTATTATGTCGTAAATGTAAAACAGCCTTTACGGGCCGCGCAAAAAACCGTTCTATTTTTCTTTTCACGAAGACTTTAATAGGTTATAATTTTACTGTACATATGTAGTCGATGGGCGACAAAGGTTGATATTTTATTGTATATACACCTATTTATCCGATGGGTGACCTGCACGCAGTTATGGGAAGGTGATTTAAGCAGGCTGGTTCTGGGCTGAGCAGCAGTTCATCTGCCGCCCCAGAGGGCTCGAAGAGTGTCGTGTCAATTGCATCGACCGATTGGCCGAACCGCGTGTCCTTAACACCCGGAGAGAGGAGACCTGTGCAGGCCACAGTCGCGCCGGGGTTCGCGGAAGATGCGTTTACATGTTCCCCTGTCCCCGGGAAAACCGACAGGGAAATAGGTTTTAAGTCTCCGGGGAACCCCCACCCCCTTTACTCCACTGTCTGCCCACAAGGCGATGAGCGTCCATAAAGGGGTTTTTCCCACGATAAAGAAAGGCCGATGGTGATACATCTTTATTACTGTTTTTATTTTGGATTTATCGCGTGATGGAAGATATTATTATCAGCTGTATATATTTCGAAAGTATTGTATTATTCGGTGCTGGACTTTGTTTCGAAACCCATAATAGTACTTAAGAAAAAAATTAATTGCTGGTTTATTCACTCTACGATGTGAGAGATCGTAATTCTCGAATCGAATTTTCGTAAACGCACCTCCGATCGGTGGGAGTGTAACAACAGGCATTTTGGTAACAAAAGTTTCTTACCCTATGCAGTACTCGCCGATAAATATTGCTCACCGACCATTGGAAAGAGACAAGCGGTTGCTTACGGCTTAGTAGAGCGTTATCTCTGTCTCACATTTGTGCAACGTCTGACAGACGTCGCATAGGTATTATCTGTTTTGTACATTTTTAGATTTATTTTATAAATTGAGATATGAGAAGCCGTTTTTGAGTTTCGGTTAATTGGTTGAAGCTTCAGATCAGTCGTTACTTCAATTGCCTTCTTTTATCTTTCTCCAGTCCTTATCTTCTCTGTTATTTTATGGAATGTTGGCAAATTAGAAAGTATGGGTAGACGGTAATAACACGCTCATTATGTAAAAGATAATTTCTTTGCCGCATTTTATCGGATGATAGACGTTCACTTCTATTTGGGCCATCGACGGAAAAAAATAGCAAAGGTTTTGTTTGTCTTATTTGTGTGAAATGAAAAGAAAAAAGATTAGACTCACGTAAGGGATATGTTTAGAAGCAACAGGCGAGGTCTATATTTATGTAACACATGTCCCAATGGTCCGTCGCTGACATAAATAAGGAGATAAAAGTAATGCCTTACGTTTTTCATCTTTCGCTCTATGCCTCTGTAGGGTTTATAATATGAAAGGTATTTGTTTTATACACACTACGATTCATTTCTTTAAAGTAAATAAAGCTACCCATGCGTCAATTGATAGTAAAAAAAATGTACTCTAAATAAAGCCGTCCACAGACATCGATAGAAAAAAAGCTATTCGTTTAAAAATAAAATAATCGAAAGCAATAACACTAGAGTACAACGATGAAAATAACATTTGTCTTTTTAAAAATCGATTCGTCCCTCCTGCACCATACCTAACTCGCGATTCGAATTTGGAACGCGTCGCGGGAATGTGGGAAATGGTGCATTCGAAAATGGAATGCCCGCTCGGCGCCGCCGGCCGGGCCGCAGTCGCGCCTCACCTGTTGCGGCGCGCGCACATCGACCCGCGCCGCATTGTCGGAGCGCCGCTCGAATGTGGGTCGCCCCCTGAATAATTCCCGAGCTCCGGGGGCGAGAAGCGAGAACCGCTCGCCGCTTGTGACTTGTAAAGGGCGGGAGAGTTTGTGGCCTTATGATGCGTTTTTGAAATATCGAAACAGCTTATATATGTCTAAATGAACCTTAAAACGGGTAATAGGGTATGATCAATCCACCTAGCAGCGATAGAACGAATAGACTCTACATATTCTCGGATTAATTTTGCCTGATTTTACTATTATCGCATATATAGAGATCTAACTTCTTTACGAGTCATATGACAATTAAAAGAAAAAAAGTAAAGTTACAGCCTATATACGCCCCACTGCTGGGCAAAGGCCTCAAATTACGACATAGTCACTGCGGATTTGTGGACTTCACATGTACTACTACAAATTATGCAGGTTTCCTCACGATGTTTTTCTTCACCGCGGAGCACGTGATAAGACAGGGTATAAAATTAACAATTCCATTGGCACCGGGGATCGAACTCAGGTTGCTCGAGTATATTGAATTAAAGGCGAGCGCCCCGACAATGAGCTATCTCGGCCCTATGGTGAATATGGTCAATGAAGGAATTATAAAATTTCACTTAGTTATATTTTTATTATACCTTCACATCGGCACCCAATGAGATGATTCTGAGGGTTGCCAGGTGTACAAATTATGAGTATCACTACTGATTTGAACCCGCCTCTGGAGAAATTATTTTAAAAGGCTTTCAAGGCTATTTTAACTGATAAATCATACTTACAGAGTGGTTCTTATACAGTCAGGAAGTATAGATGTTTGGAGATGTCTCGACGCGGTATATGCTGATAATTTGGCTACTAAATTCGTACTTATTAATTGCATTGGTGTCAATTTATATAGACGCTGATCGTTTCTATCTGATCGTTTCTCGACTACAAGGTGTTTCAGCTTAATAGCTCTTCTTCACGCGTATGGAAAAAGGCGATTTTACTGAGTAACGGTTATAGGTTCACAAGCCTTGTAGTCAACTAAATGGGTAATTAAACCAGATATTCAGGTCATGCAAATTTGCCTTACGCAAAATTAATGATTCCGTGGCGCAGTTGCCAAGGTATCGGCTTCGGAGTCGAGGGCCGTGGGTTCGATTCCCACACGTAACAACTATATGTGTGATCAACAGATAGTAGTATCCCATCTAGATGTTTGTCCATGTGAAATTTATGTTTGTACAACGACCTTACAATACAATACAGGATAATGTAGATGACATTACATAGAGTAAGGGCAATGTTTTTTTTTTAATAGAAAATAATTGTGAATTTAAGCTTTATGTTTTCTTACATTATTCCATGTTAACACATAACGGACTAAATCCCCATTATGCATTTAATTCTTCAAACATGCGTTTAGTGCACTCAATTATAGACTAAAAATAATTATTAATTAAATATAAAGATAAAGACTTAAATATAAAGTAATAATAGCCTCGTAGCCAAATAAATACGTAGCAGCCGTCCCGTAGCGGTAGGTAGACGTTTATCGAAGGACTTGATCGTGATTGAAACCAGTTTTAATCCGACGGGACTTTTATAGTTTATCGAGTGTTTCTAAACTGATCGGATCTTTCCACTTTGGTTTGATTGAACGCGACAAAACAACAAATAAAATTCGTCTTACTTAATAAAGTTGTATTAAAAACAAATAAGAATGTTGTAAAACGATATTTCAATTGTTCGCGTGCTATAAAAGACATGACTATAAATTCGCCAACCGTTGCTTAAAATGCAAAAATCATTTTTTTTTTTATGTGAAAAAGTGACCAATGAGCTGGCGGTTTACCTGATGTTACGTAACCACCGCCCATAGACATTTGCAAAACCCGTAGGGTTGCAAATGCGATGCCACCTTATAAAGTAGGCCCTGGCTACCTCACTCACCAGACGAAACACAGAAGTGAAACACTTCTACTTCACGCTAGACTTGCTGTGAGGTCGTGGTACTTACCCGGACGGACCTGCCCATTTGTGCAACAGTGAAAACGTTGCGTGGCCCTACCACAGTTGGGCCATCTAGATAAAATACGTACGTTAAATCAGCCGTTTAGCTTAGTGAATATAGCGTCTGAGTGCGAAACCGGAAAGTGGTTTCGATTCCCGCAGCGGAAAAACATTTCGCACATTTTTTTCTATAAACTTTAATCTTTAAATAAGGATATTTGCAATCATGAATGATGGTAAACGCAAATTCATGCTTTTGTATGCTTGAGTGGATTTGATTAACATGAGAAACCTACAATCTAATGTCCAGAGATAAATTACTAATATTTATGAACAAAAAATAAATGTTAATATGTGCAATAAGTACAAGTTTAAAAAGCGAACGACAAAATCATTTGTACAACGACCAATGCGAGTGCCGTTACATTTGTAACTTTACATATATTTTCCAAATAACGCCATTGTGTCGCGATTGGACATACACGGCCCATTGTCATCGAAATATTCCCAATGCGCGAATATATTTTCTATTCAAACACTTTTACATGCGCCGTTAGTGGCTGAGCGTGTCCACATGTGTACATGACAGTTGATTGATACATCCAGACGGTCTAACTGCACTGAACATGTGTATGTATGCATATATTTTTACGTGAGCGACCACGTTGAGGTGTGACACCCATTCGGAAAATGTATTTTTAACTGTCTTGCATGTTCCTTGTTCTTCACCTGAATAATCTAATATTTGGTGTACCAATTTTACACAACATTCTCTAGTCCCAAACGAGGCAAGCGTTGCCTACTGTGGCTCCTAGATAACTGATAAACATACTTTTCTTTTGTAAATAAATACATGTTATAGATATATAAACATCCAAATACGAGAAAAACACTGTTCATCGCACAATATTTGCTTAGTTTGAGTCTTAATAACGTTGTGTAAATATATGTCCCGAAATTATTAATTTATTCTATTGTATGTAACCTGTTTTTTCACGAGAAACATGAGTTCAATTTTAGAAGCCTGATAGTTCCCAATACACATTCACTGAGGTAGGGCCACGCAGCAGTATTGGCTGTTGCACGAATGGGAATCTCCATCCTGGGAAGTACCACGACCTCATAGAAGATCGACGTGAAGTGGAACCTTATACTTCTGCATTTCGTCTGGTGAGTGATGTAACCGAGGCCTATTTTTAACCGCCTTCAAAAAAGGAGGAGGTATCTCAATTCGACCGTATATATTTTTATTTATTTTATGTGTGTAACTAATTAATGTCGTGGATAACTTCGTCGTTTATGAACCGATTTTGATGATTCTTTTTTTATCGGAAACGAGATATCCCAAGGGTGGTACCATGATAAGGAACTCCGGATCTGATGATGGCGTCCCAGAGAAATAAAGGGCCATCATTGAATGTTTTAGGTATCAACAATGTTTTTAATTTTCTGATTGAAGACGGTTTTTTTTTTGTTAAAAATTATACTTGTAATTTATCTTAAAGACCGAAAGGTGGTCGCATTTGTAGCTCAGTGGGTGTTGTAAATGTACGCAGGCGGCTATCACTCAACATTAGGTGATCCGCCCGCTCGCTTGACATCTTGTTACATAAAACAACTATATTTAGTTACATTTCCGTGCTTATTCCATTTGTCCTTTTAGCTGCCGATTACACATCTACTCACCGCACCCACTCAATCCACGTCACCCATTTCCATATCCCTACACAGCGTCCTAGGCTTTTATAACGTTAATGCGCGCGAAAAAACGCCGCCGTTTGAACCGGTTTCGACTTCATTTGCTCCACGCCCCATTCTGAAAAGGCGGGAATGAGGGATTTCGCTAAAGGAGACTTTCATGCGGTGCCCGTAAGTGGGCGACGTGAATCTTTTTTGCTGTGCGGTCCCTTTTCAGTTAGGCGCGTCTCGAATAATTCTTATCGCTTCGCTCGGTCAGCGAACGCACATACAATTCGTCGTTTGCTAGGACTTTTGACTTTTTGAAAACGTGTTTTCTTATAGAAATCATTTCGTCACTTTTCATCGTTGTTTCTTAAAATTTCAATAACTTCACATTTATATGACATCACGTTTAGGGAATGGTCAAGTGTCTAGGAAATAAAACTTAAAACAAATAATGACATCTATCCAGCAGTTATTTCGTGATGTGCGCACAATGCAAGATTCTATAACTTTATTTATATAGATTTATTTTATCTTTCACGGCAAGAAAACATGATTCAATGAACACGTTAGTTCAAAAATAAAATATTTGTGTCTTAAAACTTTAATCACTTTACATTAAATGGATATACCACAATAATTTTATTTTTCGACAAAGTTCAAGTATGTTAGAAATATAAATTTGAATAATTAACTCAGGAGTTACTTTAAGGTATTCTAATGATGATTCCTAATTTTATAATAAAATAGGTGACATCCACAAACAACTAAGTATAAACAATTTCAAACAATTTGTAAAAGCTACCTTAATGGCAAGGGCCTACTATAATATCAAAGAATACATAGAGGACAAGGATGTTTGGAAATGACTCTTGCTCTGCACTTGCAAGACCCCTGGCTGCTGCTGATTTTATACCCAAATAAGTGTGTATAATTGCATTAAAAAAAATATATATATATATAACAAAAAGAACAAGACCGCAGAGTTTCTTGCCGGTTCTTCTCTGTGCAGGTCTAGTTTAGTGAACCGGTGGTAGATTTTTGTTGACGTTCAATAAGAGATTAAGTTAGGCCTATATTGAATAAATATACTTTGACTTTGACTAATAAAACAGATTATTATGTAACGTAGCACTCCAAAAGTTTATTTTGATTAAATAATAATAATAATATTAATATAATAATAGTCGCTTCGGCATGTTATCTCCGGTTGTTCCATGCTTTCTAACTCTGAGTATCTGCATAGACACAACCTAGTAGCCAGAATCCTACACCAGGAGGTCGCTCTGGAATACGGCCTCGTGGAACGGAAACTGTCGTACTATAAGTACTCTCCGGAGGCCGTGCTCGAAAATGACCGCGCCAGGCTCTATTGGGACCGGCCCATCATCACGGACAGGACGATTGTCGCGAACAAACCTTATATCGTGGTGATGGACCGGGCACAGTCGCCGGTATTTTTGGTCGACAATACCATTCCATATGACGAAAACCTCGTGAAAGCCGAAACAGATAAGAAGACAAAGTATCTGGACCTGGCTCACGAGGTGACCGAGATGTGGGGTGGTGTGCCGACCGAAATTATCCCGATAGTCGTTTCTGCCAATGGGTCTGGGAACTGGCGACTGGAACTCCGGGACGGATCGCTCCAAGTTCAAATGCGGTGCTCCTCGATACCGCCCGCATCGTCCGCCGGTTTCTCTCCCTTTCGCCCTAACCCTCGGCCGTTTGGTCTCCCCTGCCGAGGGCTTCCGTCTGGTTGGGTCCTATTTATATATGTATTATATAAAATATTTATATATGTATGTTTATTTTTATCCATAATATTTATTTTATATATGCAATATATATCTATATTTTTATTTTTATTTATAAACCCAACCAGACGAGAAAACAAATGAATATCCCCCCCAAAATATTAATAAAAATATAATAAATATGCTTAATGAAGACACAAACCACTGAAGTCGATTTTTAGTTACATCAACCACTGAGAGTCGATTTTTAGTTACAATATTCGCAGTGTAGGACGACCCCCCACTAGATGGAGTGACGACCTGTGATTGTGCGGCGTCTGTCGTGGCTCAATCGGTGGCAAAATTTAGCTGATCATTAATAAATGATGATGATACATTATAAAACATAATTACACAAATATATCATATACAGGAATATATTTATATTAATTGCTTGTTACTTATAGTTTTTGTCTAATGAATATAAATGAAATGGTTCGATTACATATCTAGAATAAATATAAAGTATCATGAATAAAAAGTTTCCTCATAAATAACTATAACATCGTCACTGCGAGTTCGCGATCGTTTTCCTCGCCGGTTATACAATGCTGGCTTCCCTTAACGGTTGTTACAGCGTCTGTGTGGGCGGACGCAAATGGATAGCGAATGATCGCCTGTAGCCGCGTTCGTTTTCATTACTTACACCTCGCTCCGGGCAATGTAGGTCAATATTACCACAGCCCCGTAACAAACAATGGGCGCTTGCGGGGCCGGTCGAAGAAATGAAGATATAGAACAAAGGAAGCTTTATATAAATAGAAGTAAAGTAACAGAAAATATAAATCCCACTGCTGGACAAAGGCCTCATCTGCACAGAGGGTATCAGGGCATAGTCCACCACGCGACCCCGATTTTTTTTATTATTATTTCGAAAATATGTAGCTCTCCTCACGATGTTTTCCTTCACCTTCGAGTACGTAATAAGTCAGCACTTAAAATTAACAATTTCATTGGTGCCGGCACCGGGATTTGAACTCGGATTGCTCGACTATATTGAATTGAATTGAACTGAAGTATATTAAAAAGCGACCGCCCGGGCAATGAGCTATCACGGCTCATTATATATTTAGTATTTATATAGTATCGAATAGAAATACATAAGAAATATAGTTGCTGACATAGATATATTAGCAGTGTGGTGGCTGGCAGCACAGCCGACAACCGATAGAGATAAATTGTTGGTATATTCCAAACTCGCCCAGGCAAACATGGTAAAACGCAACTCTCGTCCTAAGACATTTATGATTGTTTAGCTGTAATAAGTAGGTAATATGTTTTATTTCTTTTGAGGCGAAAGGCGGAAGCGAATACATGCTTTTTTACATCATTTAGTCGTGATATAACAATACACTTTATGCGTGAATACTTTTTTTTTTTTTTGGTAAAACCTGATGACTCCGTGGTGCAATAGCTAAATCACTGGGCGTCGTGGGTTCTCAACTATTTATGTGACCCTGAGATAATTCTGAATCTGTTTGTTTTTCCATGTGAAATTTATATTTGTGAAACGTCCCTACAATATCCCTTACTGTAGGATAATGTTATCCTACAGTAAGGGCAACGTATAAAAAAAAGAGAAAAAAAAAATTCCACTTTTCTGATACTTGTAATAGGCAAACGCTCCGGGTATAATTAGATCATCGAGTTGTGAAGCTACTCAAATCTAAGCTGAATGTGATGCTATAAAATTCCCTATGAATATATAACGTAAATGCAGCATTCGATTTAATAGGGCAGTGGATAGCGTGAAGTGAAAACGTTATACTTGAGCGTTTCGTCTGGTGAGTGGCTTAACCGATGCCCACTTTATTAAAAGGTGGCAACGCGTCTGCCACCCCACGGGTGTTGCAAATGTCCATGGGCGGCGGTATTCACTTAACATCAGGTGAACCGTCTGCTCGCTTGGCAAGAAAAAAAAAGGAATAGATCGACGTAAAGGTGATGCATGCTTTACCTGGTTTCATAGTAACATCACACCTCAAATTAGAGTGCTTCGAAACTCCGACATGCATGCGGTATTTGGAGTATAACACACGCGTTCATACCACCCACAGCATCTCTCATCTCGGTATTTATATGCAGTCAGAATAAATATCAACTTGAATATGATGAGAAGTGAAATGGCAAATGAAATATTCAGCGGTATAAGAAAACTCGCGAGACTTTCCGTTATGTGAGTTTATCAACCTTATCTATAACATTAAGTTTGTCTAAATTACATTCATACATATACCGTATGAATATAATTTAGACAAAAACTGAAGAAGAATAAAGAACAGAAGAACAGTGCTTCATTTGTTTTCTCTTTTAGTGTCGAATTCACCCTTAAACATTTGTACTTTAATGGGAGATCGATTTGAGATCTGAAAGTTTTGCGACAATAACCATTTTTATTCTACTCCATCAGACGTCAGAGTCTGAGCTCTATTTAAATTGTTAAAGTTAAATTTGGTTAGAAAACTTAGGCAATGTATTTCCCTTTTCTTGGAAATAAGTGAAGACGTACTTACAGATGACAGAAATTTATCACCTATTCTTCCAAAGCAAGCAGAGCAACTGTTGAGTTTCTTGCCGGTATCTTCTCAACAGAAACTGCTTTCCGAACCGTACCGTTGGTAACTTACGAAGGTATTAATTTTTATGTAAAATTTTTGACATTTCATAAGAACGCGCAAGCGTCTATGTGAATAAATATATTTTTGATTTTGAAAGGTTTTTTAAAAAGTAAAACTCCCAAAAGACATTTTATGCATCATATAGCCGCATGTTTATAAATTCTTGGATTCTTTTTATAACATTCATGTTCTTTTTTTGCAGGTACGTCAACATACCCCGTAGCTGATTAAACCGCTGTTTGGTATCCATGTTAATACCTAATTAAGGTATCCAATACGTAATACACAATGTATTGAATGTCGTGTTATATTGCATAGTTGTTATAAAAAGTCTAAAAAAAGTAAAGTAACAGCCTATACATGTCCCACTGCTGGGCAAAGGCCTCCTCTATACAGAGGGTATCAGGACATAGTCCATCAAGCGGCCCCACTGCGGATTGGCGCACTTCACATATCTTCGAAATATATATTTTTTTGTTATTATTTCGAAAATATGCAGGTTTCCTCACGATGTTTTCCTTCACCGCGGAGCACGTGATAAGTCAGCACTTAAAGTTAAAAACTTCATCGAATTTTAAAGGAGATCGAACTCAGGTTGCTCGAGTATATTGAATTAAAGACGAGCGCCCGGACACTGAGCTATCACGGCTCATAATGTATCTAATAATATTAATTGTTTTGTTAAATAACGTCTTGCTAAGTAATTACTCTGTAAGCTTTATCAGACTATCAGAGTAACTCGTCTGGGGAAGTACCACGGGCCAGAACTTAACGCCTGTCTATTGGAGACGGTAATCACTTAACATAAGGTGGACCGCCATTTCACTCACCGCATAATGTAATTAAAAAAACTTAACCGACGTTTGTCAATGTGGATGCCTGCAGTGGATATTCATGAATATGGATCCACACGATTTTATCTATACCTCTGTACAGATAAATAAAATTTGAGTGTCTGTTTGTAATATTAAAATAACCGCTTTTTATTAAATGCATATGGATGTATACACGGTACATAAAAAAGTAACAGCCTATACATGTCCCACTGCTGGGCAAAGGCCTCCTCTATACAGAGAGTATCAGGGCATAGTCCACCACGCGGCCCCACTGCGGATTGGCGGACTTCACATATTTTCGAAATATATTTTTTTTGTTATTATTTCGAAAATATGCAGGTTTCCTCACGATGTTTTCCTTCACCGCGGAGCACGTGATAAGTCAGCACTTAAAGTTAAAAAACTTCATTGGTGCCGGCACCGGGGATCGAACTCAGGTTGCTCGAGTATATTGAGTTAAAGGCGAGCGCCCGGACACGTAGCTATCACGGCTCCTATACGGTACATATACCAAAATAAAATTTTTTACAATTTTTGACTGTCTGCTTGTCTGTTTGTTCCGGCTAATCTCTGAAACGGCTGGACGGATTTGGACGGGACTTTCACTGACAGATAGCTGACGTAATAAGGAGTAACTTTGGCTACTTTTGTTTTAGATTTTTTTTTATTTTAAATTCGTGGGCACAGCTAGTTATTAATAAAGGAGCAAGGCGCTAGGCATCGTCAAAAATGACAAAATATGAAAAGATAGATGTTGATATTTTCGCGCCGTAAGGATATAGAGCGGTTAGCTATGTTGTTTAAAGCGTCCGAAAGCATACGAGTAACGTACAAGATTCATACTTCCGGTGGTGGGATCATGGACCAATGGGATCAAGGGTCAATGGACCGCGACCTCATGTCCGTACTCATTACGTAACACATATTGTTCATCTTTATATATATAATTCTTCTGTACGTGTGTCACTGAACTCCTCCTAAACGGCTGGACCGATTTTAATGAAATTTTGTGTGTGTCTTCATGTGGATTCGAGAATGGTTTAGATTCACAAATTTATTCAAAAAACGTTTGAAATTTTCGAATTTAAGACTTGTGTACAGGACAACGTCTGTTAATTAATATTAATGCTAACTTAGCTTAAAACCTAGATGTAGCATTACGACAAAGCTTCCTTTGCTATGGTCTAGACTGATATAGCCTAAGTTTACATAAATTTGCAAGCTTGATGATGGCGACGTGCTCAGACGTACTCTAAATACTGTATTTTAAATGAGAAAGCTAATGAGCAAATTGAAACTAATTAAAACGGTTTCAACCGCCTCGAGGAGCGATTAATTAAAGATATCAATTGCCATGGGTAACGAGGTTCAGTCGCATTGTGTGGGGATCTGAGCGAGGTATTACGCCGCAGCAGTTGCGTCTTCGTGGACGGACTTGATTTTTACGCTTTAAATGCCGAGCATTTGAAACTAAATGGTTATGCTCTACTGCGGCTATTTGAACTATTATTACATAAAAATAAAAAAGCCTTTAATTTCTTGCCCTATAGATCAAGCATTTTTTTCTATTATTCAATAAGGCCTCCTCCAAAGGTTCTCATTTGCGTCGATTTTGTGCTATTTGGCTCCAGTTTAGAACTATTATTATATATATTATATATACCTAAATTATGGTTATACACACCCAAAGTAAGGCGAGTAAGTAGAAGTTTTATACTTCTGCCTTTCGTACGGTGGCCCACTTTATTAAAAAGTGGCAACGCAACTGCAATCGTACGGGTGTTACAAAATTTCAGTGGCGCCGGTTATCACTTAACATCAGGGGAACCGCCAGCTCGTTTGTCACGCTCTGACGTAATCACTGAAAGGTTTTACACAGTTTAGGTACGAGGTCACTGATGTTTAGGTATGGTAATGAATATATTAGGGAGAGCTCGAGAGTGGCACCAATGACTCAGAAAATCAGCCGTAGATTGATCTGATATGGGCACGTTACGATAAGGAATGAAAGATGTGAACAAAGATGCGTGGAGTATATATGTGTGTATATATATGTCTGTGAAAGTGGTGAGTATTGAGATGATGGCTGATAGAGAAAAGGGGAAGGACAGGACATATTGTGCCGACCCCACCTAATGTGGAATAAGGGCAGGAGAACGAAGAAGAGAACTTCACAATTTTGTGTGGCAAATATTTTATTTAGTACAAGTCGCGGGCACTTACCCCGCGTGGAATTTAAAATAAATAAAAATCCAAAATAAAAGTAGCCTACGTTACTCCTTATTACATCAGTTATCTGCCAGTGAAAGTCCCGTCCAAATCGGTACATCGGTTTCAGAGATTAGCCGGAACAAACAGACAGACAGACAGACAAATGTAAAAAATGTTATTTTGGAATATGTACCGTGTATATATCCATATGCATTTAATAAAAAGCGGTTATTTTAATATTACAAACAGACTCTCCAATTTTATCTGTATATATAGCAAGAGCGGGATAATTATTCTATTCGCTAGCCCTACGTGAATAATCTTGTCTTCGGGTGCACTGCACTAATGTGAGACTGCGAAACCCATGAAACTTTGTGCAAGGCCTTGGAATCGAACAAAAGCGATAATAAGCCTCCACGTCCTCACAGCACAGGATAATTATATAATACAGTAAGGGTAATGTTTTTAGAAACAAAAGTAAAAATAAATAAATTAATTTCTTTTAATATTTTACGTTTAGAATGTTTTGCAGCTACCATCAATTGCTACCTTTTTAAAAGCATAACCTTTTCGAACATGTCGTTATTATTGCACGTAAAAAAAAACCGCAGCTTTTGAACCTCGCAATTTTAATTTCACTCTATTCGAGCGGTCCGTTGCTTGAACTAGGAGGCTGCTAACAGAAATTTTAATATAAACTTTAACTTCGGCCATACTTCGCCCTCGGCTGATGTAGAAAATGCAACGTACGCTCGCTAGACACATAAATGTTTAATGTGTTCAACAGCTAAATGCTAGTATAGTATATGCAATAGCTAAATGCTAGTATACTAGTTATTAATTATGTATTATTCCGATTTTTTCTGATAGTTGATACTTAAAAATAAAATAAACAATATAGTTGGTGTATCGTTTAATCAGAATCACGTTCTGCCACAATCAATACACATATCGGTTCATATGTTTTATTCATATATTTTACTTTTCTTTGGATCTGAATCATCCTCATTCGGATATGTCAACGTATTGTGAACATCTATCGGTACAAATAATGACGTACAAGAGGGCGTTACCAGTGATCTCACCGTCGAAAAATGGGGGATCACTGGTCGGTAACTTCTGGTGGTAGGGCCACGCAACACTGGTAGAAAAATGAGCATGCCCGTCCGGTTAAGTATCACGACCTCCCAGAAGACCGACGTAAAGTAGAAGTGTTACACTTCTACGTTTCGTCTGGTGAGTGAGGTAGCCGGGGCCCACTTTATTTAAAGGTGGCAACGCATTTGCAACCCTACGGGTTTTGCAAATGTCCATGGGCGGCGGTTATCACTTAACATCTGGTGAACCGTCAGTTCGTTTGCCACATTCTCACATAAAAAAGTGGAATCTTAGAAAGAAAAGAGTCGGTTAAGTCAACACTGAATGCGGAGGAGTTTAAGTAATTAATTTCATGTTAAGGTAGGAATGTGGTTTAACTTTGTGTAACATTTTTTTTTTAATTTAACTCCACTTCCAGTCAATAAAAAGATAAAATAAAGGCCATCCGCTATTAGCAACGAATAAAAAGGCTTTTTAAATATTTTTAATCCACATTTCAAAAGATGATAAATTAAAAAAAAATATCTGCCGACACTGACGACACTATGCTCCTCTTAACGCTTCAAAGCAACGCAGATAAGCAGAGTTCGGACGATTTACTTGCGTGTGTGATTGTTCCATCTCGCAGGTCTAAAGGTTAAATTGGGCGCGAGCGTCCGCCCACAGCGTCACTTTTTAGGGTTCCGTGAAACGGCACCCTGTCACTAATACTCCGCTGTCTCCGCTGACTCCGCTCTCTGTATCCATTTTTCACCAGGCTGTATCTCACGAACCGATAGTTGGACAGTTGAAATTTTTGCAGTTGATGTATTTCTGTTGCCGCTATAACTATAAATGTTTTTATAGATAATGATACGGAACCCTTCGTGCGCGAATCCGACTCGCACCTGGCCGGTTTTTTATCTGCCGCCCTAAAGTGCCTCGACAACGGAACCGACCGTACTCAACGGACCCCATCGTTTACCTCCTAATGACTGCTCCCTATCTGCCCTCAGCTAGGCCATTATTGGCGGGGGTTTCTCTCGTGATTCAATTTTGGAATCCCCACAGCTTTGTGTTGACAGTTCTTGTCAGTCGTTCCCGGTTTCCAGATTTGTTGCCGACTGTCGTCATCTCTACCGTCCGGAAGGGAATTGAAAAATTGATGAAATAGCAGTTCGCGAGAAAGAGAGAAAAGGCGGATTGTGCCAATCGTTAGAGATTGGTAAATAAAACTGTTTTCCTGACTTTAACGCGTTTATTTTTGAATCCGAATGGGGCCGAATGGGACGTTTTACATGCTGAAATCAATACCTCATCCGTGAGGGTTTGTATTAGGGCATAGCCACTAGGCGGCTAAAATATAAAAAAAAAGAAAAGTCAAGTGATCAGGTGGTTTATCCGATGCTTAATATTTCAATGGACATCTACCGCCGGCCATGGACATCTACAACACTTGACGGGGGGCAGATGCAGATGATGATAGAGAAGAGGGCCCCTACTATGTCATTCATGATACTTTTACTTCGTGCTGATCATCATTCGTGAGGCCGTGGTACGACTCTGAACGAGCCCGCCCCATTACTGCATCTGAAGAATTTTATCGCGCGGCCGTGCCACAGGCTAAAGTAAGTAGTTGAGAATACTTAGATTACCTACATAGACAAAGAGGAGAAGCGAGAATTTATTTGAACACCAAGCGTCTGCTATTGGCAGATACGTCGCCCCATAGAATAAGTTAACTTTGACGAACCAATCAAACTTCAATAAAGTGATTTAACGAAAGCTCCGCTCTGGTCTTATAATTGGAATCGAATTTGGAACGCGGCCAAAATTCAAGCACCGATGTTTCTGTTGATCAACTGACATATTCGGTTAAGTTTACGGTTTTACTTAATAACTTGGGTGGCTAATTAAGTAAGTACATTCCCGTAATTATCAAGTTTACTCAGAGCTAACAATGTTAGCGACGAACAGCTTAGCGAATCAATTTAACTTGAAACATCTTGTACTACGTGTTAATAAGGTTTAATATGGAAAGACTTGATAACTTATTATATTTATATCTGTCCCACTGCCGCGCGGAAGGTCTAAGAGATGAAAGGTATTATATAAAGGCCATAACACGACCCAGTGCGCATTGGCAGACATCACATATCTCCAGAGTTTTTATTTTTTTTGATACGCAGGATCACGCTAGGCTTATTATTATAAGTAAGGGCATTATTTTTTAAACAAAATTTAAAAAAAAACAATGCCCTTACTTTAGGATAACATTATCCTATGTTATAAGGACCGGTAAAATTTAATAACAACCGGTACCGCGATTAAAACTGAGGTTACTGGAGCGTACTGATTTTAAAGTGTCCGGATTCTAAGCTACCATAGGTCATGATTTAATAAAGCATTTAGAGGAAATATTTATATACTAAATTTACTCAATGTAGTCAAAACGAAGTAAATGTAGTGTAATAAATTAAGATTAGATTGTTTAGTAGATAAAAATCGCGACTTTGTACAATAAGATAATTCTGGTTGTGGGGAAACGCGATGACATTTCTGGATATAAATCCGGAAGAGTCATCGATAGGTTATGAAAACATTTGTCTTAGATATAAAATGAACACATGGTCGATGGAGTAGAAGCTATTTCACTAGACGACACTACATCCACAGATAGTGGTAACACTAACCAATTCACTAACCAATTCGTCCACACTTTACTGTGGTGGGACCACGCAACAGTGTTTACTGTTGCACGAATGGGCAAGTACATCTGGGTTGGTGCAACAACCTCACAGAAGACCGAAGTAAAGTAGAAGTGTTACACTTCTGCGTTTCGTCTGGTGAGTGAGGTAGCCGGGGCCACATTATTAAGGCAACACATCTGCAACCGGCGTTGCAAATATCCGTGGCCGGCGGTTACACCAGGTGAACCGCTATCTCGTTTGCCACGTTTGCACATTAAAATACCTACGAGTACGGAGAAACCAACAAAACGCATACACGAGTTTCAACCGCGTTTCAGGGTGACCATCAGGGTCATAGTCAGCATCGAATCTCGATGGCCCTGTAACTTACTCCCTCCCCCCTCTTTTGTGCATATAAAATTATATATATTTCTGCCCCGTTAAATGAATAAATCATATAACATCATTACGTGACCAAGATAATTTATTGATCTTTCTATAGGATCTTTCTAAAGGTAATAATTAGCCGTATAAAATATTATTGTGATCGTCATGTTCGGTAGGGCCTTATTTACGTTGTGTTTATTTAGTAACTTGATTCTTTTAGGTGTATCTTGGATAGATAAATATTCACTAGTCGTAGTATAAATCAGAGATAATGCCAGATTGCTTTTTACCAGCATAAAGAGGGTTTGACCTATTTATGCTGGTAAAACAGCTTGGTGAATGTACGTCAATACGGTTTTGGGCATGTGTTGATAATCAGGCACTCTGGCCCTATGATATAATAAGCCCTCCGTAAGCGCCACCATTTTTGCCAGATCGCCGCGACTGCAGACGTGGTTGTTAGTGTTTTGGCATCACCACCATTACAAGGTTAGCACGACATTTCGTCGCAGAGTGCGTTATGAGTCACTGCTCACCCCAAGGGTATGGTTATAACGTTGCACGGCATCGCCGCAGCCTTGAGATCCACAGCTTCCATCCACATGAGGTAAACGCATATGCTCTACCAACCGTTGCAATAGTCAGATATAGCCATAGTTGTGATTTTTATATTAAGCCATCAGAAGGGTTTATAATTGGCATCATATATTTATTTGTCAGTGTCTCTGAGGTTAAGTATAATGTATTTTCGATCAAGTTTGTCTCACCCACCAGCAAGTTGCCTTTGTTCGTTCAAACGGTGGGGGAACTTTACTGAGATTCGTTAATAATGATAAAACTATACGGGAGGTCAGACAGTCTGCAGTTCCGTCATCAGGAACCCGACTTGGACAAAGCTACTGAGATGTGCATCAAACCGAGACGCAGCCTCGGCCATTATGAATAGCGTCGTCTCCCAAGCAAATGTCGCAAGACGCAATGTCACTAAATGCAACATGCATCAATAAAACTATCGCAGGTCAACACGCCAACATACAGCCTATCCGCATACACACATACATCATCACCTCGAACCTCCGTCAACCAGAATCATACGATGCAATGATATTAGGCGCAGATCACCCCGCAACTACCACAAGACGCATTACTGCATATAGCCGCACGCATCAATGTGAGCACGGCTCGCAGTTATCCCCGGCCGCACGCAAAGCCTAAGCACTACCCAGCGTCTTAAGCCCGGCCCGCAGTTACTCTCTGCCGGACGCTCGGCCCACTATCTAACGTCGCTCGAGCCCGATCCGCAGCTGCCGGCGCCTCAACGCCAGGCCCGCAGTTGCCCACAGCTGAACACCCGGGCCGCTCGAGCACGGCCCGCATCTGCCACCGCCTGAACGCCAGTCTCACTATTCAGCGTCGCTCGAGCCCGGGCCGCAGTTGCCGGCGCAAGAACGGCCGGCCCGCAACTATTCCCACCCGACCCGCTCTAGCCTCTAGTTGTAAAGTAAAGTAAAGTAACAGCCTGTACATGTCCCACTGCTGGGCAAAAGCCTCCTCTATACAGAGGGTATCAGGGCATAGTCCACCACGCGGCCCCACTGCGGATTGGCGGACTTCACATATCTTCGAAATATATATATTTTTTTTTTGTAATTATTTCGAAAATATGCAGGTTTCCTCACGATGTTTTCCTTCACCGCGGAGCACGTGATAAGTCAGCACTTAAAGTTAAAAACTTCATTGGTGCCGGCACCGGGGATCGAACTCAGGTTGCTCGAGTATATTGAATTAAAGGCGAGCGCCCGGACACTGGGCTATCACGGCCTCTAGTTGGGTAGGTGACAATCCTCCAACTACCCAACGCGAGAGCCATGCCAAGCTCGTGGGTTCTGGCTATACCTTGGTACCTGCGTCACTCGTTAATATAATAAGGAATCAATCTTTAGTTTGACAAAATTTAGGTAGGCAGAAATCTCAAAAATGCCGAAAATATTCGACGTGAGAAATTTTGTCGCTATGTGCGAGTATTATAATTCCTAAAATGCCTTATCCGTAGGAATCTTTCGCGTCGAAATTTAAAAGAAAATAAAAACGTAAATGGTTGCATTCGACGATCTTATTATAATAGCGCGCAGTGATTAAGTGGCAACCTCCATTCATTCTCTCCTCCATTGTTGTGATTTCTTATCGTAGATTTGAATCTGGAGTACCATTATGGCACGGGGCTTAGCGGGGCGAGCCGGCCTACTTTCGGTTCTGATGAGCTGGCTCGCTGGACCGCGAGCCCGTTGGCTCGCTGCTTCGCTGGCTTGCTGGCTCGCTCTCTACGGGCTTATCGCTCGGCCGCATTCCCATTTCAAACTCGTCGTTCGCTTATCCGTTTCCGAGTGTTCGGTTCCCGGGTGCGCGACTGAAACTGGAATCTGGAAGAGCGCTTCTAGAAGTTTCCAATTGTTCCGTCTCGTTTTGTTTCGTTACGAATACAATTTGTTGTTTACCGAATAACTCGAACTAGACTTACCACAGTGGCTCGGGTTTGTTTAACCCTCATGAAATCAGTCATGTGTTATGCAGTTAAAATAAGATCTACTATAAATTTACTACCAATAAATAAGGTTCTGTATGAGATTTTTTTTAAACCTTGTACTTCATGATAACATTATTTTGTGTTGTAAGAACGTTTCACAAATATAAATTTCACGTGGACAAACACGCAGATGCGAAACAACTATCTGTGGGTCACGCAAATAGTTGGGATCGAACCTATGTCCCCCGACGCCGAAGCCAATACCTTAGCAACTGCGCCACGGAGTCATCAATTAAGACAAACATTACGTAACTGATTGTCCAAGTGAAATTTATCTACGTAAAACGTCCTTACAACACAGGGCAATGTTTAAACTAAAATACTATCCTAAATGACTATGCTAAATGTCCGAGGTTGTCCGCATTATTACCCCATGCGGGTGTCAAACCAACGATCCGTGACATCGCGTAGTTCCCGCGGCACCGTCGAATATACGCGATATCGACCCCGAATCGCTTTATCGATGCGTGGGGTCAGCTGCGGCGGGCGTCGGGTCGACCTGGGGTCAGTCGGACCCCCCGGGGTCGATCTCCGATGACGGCTTTCAATTACGCATCCCGAGTTTCCTCGAGATTCCGCTGTGCGAACGATTGACGCTCTCAGTTACTTGATTGGTGGCGTCGAGAGAATGAATGCCGCTGATTTTATTGAGCAGTTTCCAATGTGATGAGAGCGAAACTATGATGTAATAAGATTGAAGTTAATAAAACATTGCTTACGGCCGCAACGCTAATTATTGTTTAGATCAAGATATATGATCATTATCACCATCATGATTATCAATCAGCTCGGCAGATATCCACAGTCTAGCAAAGGCCTTCTAATTAGAACGCCACAACGGATGACACTTTGCCTTTTGTATCCACCGGGTCCCCGGGGCTTTTACGATGTCATCGGTTCAATAGTATTGGATAATGATACTTAATTTTATATACATTATACACTAAAACCATTTGACAGAAATGTCCATGTGTCAGAACCCTGCATACTTATTCTGCATGCGTGCAATCGATTACTGGAGCTTTTTGCACCGCCCGCCCATAGTGTACCGGCAATCAAGTCGATTTAATTTCTTTCTTCATGTAATATAAGGTAGGATGGTACGCAGATACGACAGTGTAGGACGACCCCCCACTAAATGGAATGACGACCAGTGCAAATGTGCGGGAAATCGATTGATGCAGATGGCTCAGGATCGTGCTTCGTGGCAGTCTTAGTCTTGTACTTTGACTAGGTGGTAAGGTCATGCAGCAGCCTCGGCTGTTGCACGAATGGGCAGGCCCGTCCGGGTAAGTACCACAACACTCACAGAAGACCAGCGTAAAGTGGAAGTATGACAAATGCTTTCGCGTTTCGTCTGGTTAATCCTCATTAAAAAAAATTGGGCTCCGGCTACCTCTAGCCGGAGCCCAATTTTCAAAAGGTTGTTAATGCATCTGTAACCCTCGGGATTGGCAGATGTCTATGCGCGGGGGTATTCACTTAACATTAGGTGACCCGTCTGCTCGTATGACAACTTTTCGCATAAAAAAATACTAATAACTTTTTATATACATATAACGGTTTTAATAATGATAGATGGCATTTTATTTATAATCGGGCATTTATTTGGCAGAGAGCTAAAGCTTGAGTCAGGGTTAATCATGTTATTTATTCATTTTTATCACAGGCTGTATAAAGCAACTGGTTCGCTGTCGCTTTTCTTTATTTCCGTTACAACTTCGAAATTAAAAGTATATAAACACTCTCCTATTCAATAGCGATTTTATAAATAAACATCAAGTCAATCCATCGCATACTTTTAAAGTTTTATTGACACCAACATACGGAAGCTAAATTTAAATGTATAAAAATAAAATAATCGAAACCACTTATTTTTAATTCGAAAAAGTGTTTCTTTCAACAATAATTTACAAGTTTAATCTCGGCGGTGACAGCTATTGCTATTACTGTTTAAACAAACATTACGCGTGATTTATTCACGAAATAAGTTTCAACGTTTTGCATAGATGCGGTTCAGTCTGCCACGATTTTCTCGAAATGTGCTAATACGATTGGACTTGTAGACCATAAATAAAGTACAAAGACATTAATCGTACCTCGTCTTGTCGATAATCGACGACAGATCGAGTTAATAAGACGCGGTCGAATGAATCGGAATTAAAAGAACATTTAAGTTCTCTTAAATTAGGGATGTACGCAGTGCGATCGGTAGGCGATTAATCTTCTCGAAATCCACGCTGTTGGACTATCGAAGCGAAGTCTAATTTATTCACGATATCAGTAACTCCCATCAAGTTGAGTATCGAAAATTAAACCGAATTAATACATCGAGCTCGGGCGGTGCGCTCTTCATCTCGGATTAACCCTAATTTTGTTCAATTTTCAAAGTCAAAGAAACTTTCTTTCCTCAAACAAGTCCATTCTTTTCTTAACGAAAAACAAACCCGACTTCAAATATCTCGCTCTGTATTCATTTTATAATTGATTTTCGGGACATCGCTAAATACCTCCTGAACCCAAGATCCAATACCAATGAAATTAATATGCAGACATGCGAAGCATCAACTTTCAAATAAAGAAAGAATCATCAAAAGCGATTCATTCAGTCGAATGTTCTGAGGTAACAAACATAAAAGAAATATAGTCAAATTGAGACCTTTTTCCTTTTTTAAAGTCAGTCGATAAAGCTTCCTCTTCCCTCCAAAATCACCAATGCTAAGTTAGACCTACCAACCTAGTAAGTCACCCGGCCTTAAAAATATTTACCTCACTTCAAATTAGATCACGTTCGGTTCTTTTGCATCAGGTCGGTATCATGGGTTGGTGCGGAACCCTAGTAGGAGTTCGACTTATTTTTGTGAAATTTTTATTTTCTTTAATTAAATAAGCTATTCAAAGTTATTATTGAATTATCACCACTGTTTACATAAACGGAACGGTACAAGTGCTGTTGTTTTCTCAGATAACATAATTAATTATATAGAAGATTCAATGAAACAGGTTGTTTATTTTGTAAGGAACTGAATTTGAAGGAATATATTTTAATTTTGGAGTAAGAACTTCACTTTATTCACGATCTTTAGGTAGTCGTCGGAGATCCACATTCTTTATGATTATAAATTAGTTGAACCGCTTGGTTAGTTACGAAATAAAAAAATGAACACGCTAAATTAAAAACAGGTGAATAACTAAAAAAAAACTGTTAATAATTTATTTTATTTTGTGTAGATAACGCTGTGGAAAGGTTTTATTATCTTTTGCTGCCAGTATTGGTCTGGCCGGTAACGCGTCTTGACCTTCTAACTCCTAAGCTAAGGGGTTGATATCGCCATCGTGCGAGAATCTCGACACAGTTGTTGTTATCATTGCTTTTGCGGCAAAGTTGAAAAATTTTTCGCAAACATTAAAAGAACAAAGCGATGTTTATATTTTAGAAATGTCTAATCACTGCGAGACACGATGAATCACTTAGATAAGCCACCGGTGCTGGAAATCGTTGTATCAATCGGAAAACTTTCGAGTTCTAAAAGTTTCCAAACGGAATGATTACTAGTACGAGTATCGCTATTTCAGTACTGGAAATTGCACGGAACGTATTGCCGGAGAGAACGGTTAATCACAATTACGGGGTAGGCAGCTGCGCTCGGCGGCCCACCGGCAGTCGTTAGGGGCACTCAGCGCCGCCGGGGGTTCCCCTAGGGGGAAGTCCCTGGATTTGCCAGAGTGGGGCATGAAAATGTCAAACGTACAGTGCCTTCGAATTGATCGTGAGTTACGATTTCGCATGCAATCGCTCCCACTTATCCGATTTTTACTTTTTGCATTTCTGTTCTAAATATCTTCTTCTTTTTATAAGAGATATGTTTTATGTGCGAAGGTGATTTTTACTTTTTGCGATATTATTGTAAGTGTCTTCTTTTTGAGACTTTTTATGTTCACCTGATGTTAAGTGATAACGGCCGCCCATAGTCATTTGCAACTACCGTTGGTTTGCAGCTGTGTTGCCACCTTTTAATAAAGTGGGCTCCAGTTACCTCACTCACCAGACGAAACGCAGAAGAAAAAAATTACACTGTCTTCTGTGAGGTGAGGTACTTCCCCGGACGGACCTGCCCAGTCGTGCAACAGCTAAGACTGTTGCGTGGCCCCACCACATTTGATTAAAATTATAAGACAAAAACTGACAGTTATTGAGGCTTACTAATTAGTAAGCACCTCACTTCGGTGAAAATATTCATTCTGACTTAATCTTTAAAATATGCAGAAAAAGTGCGAAAAGATTGTCGCCGTTGTGGGAATCGAACCCACGTCTTCGGCATTCGCGGCCTGACGCTCTAGCCACTGAGCTAAACGGCTGATTGCCACACCGACGAAAATCTTAACGCATTCTTCCACATTGTTTTCTTAGCATTTGAAGCAATGCTTGGCGCCATCTATTGTTATATCCTTTCCAGCATACAAACAATTTCGAATATCGTTTTACAACGATAATTCGAACGAGAGATGTCGCCATTGCTTTTTTAGAAATTTAAATTGTTTATAGTGCGAATCCCACAACGGCGACAATCTTTTCGCACTTTTTCTACATATTTTAATGTTCAATCTTAAGTGCAAAGATTAGCACTATAAACAATTTAAATTTCTGACTTAATCTTTTTATTCTTTTTTGTTTTTAAAAAACGTGGTCCTTACTGTAGGATAACATCATCACATACGACTAAGGCTAAGGCCAATCAATGTTGTCTTATCTCTATGGCGCAAATGTTTTCCAAATTCTTGCTCGCCAAAGACTCGTCTACCCGATTCGCTGACAACAATAAAGCAGCGCTTCCGTCCGAATAGCGATCGGGGAACTTGACGAGGTTGGCGGCCAAAGTGTCAGGCGCGTGTTCCGACGTGTCACGTCGCCGTCGGGAGAGCGTGACACATCACGTGACAATCTACGGCGGTAATCTGTCCGAGCTAATGGCGAAAATGGACGACACTGCTGCGTCACTATTTATACACGTGTTGGCGAAAGGTACAGGAATCTCTTTTAAATTTATATTAATCTATACGCCTATGCATGTAACATATATAAATACTAGCGGACCCAAAAGACGTCCAGTACACGCGGCTTAAATCCGACAACAACTTATGAATAAAAAGAAAACAAAAAGAAACGAATTGTGAATCTAAACCATTCTTGAATCGACCTGCAGACACACAATTTTTTTTATTAAAATCAGTCTAGCCGTTTAGGAGGAGTTTAGGGACATACACAGGTTTAACAGGAAGAATTATATATAAAAAGATATAATGTATTAAGGTATTATGTAAGACAAGTAAACCTTGCTGGTACATATGTAAACGATTGATATCTGAAAATGTATGAACAAAGTTTGTAGATAAAATGGACGGAAAGTATTTTGCCGCTGCGGGAATCGAACCCACGTCTTCACCTTAACAGCCGGAAGAAGTAGAGTCGATTTATGCACCGGCGAAATACGTTTTGGTCATTAATTATTCTACAAATTTTAATCTTTCACCTTAAGTGCACAGATTAGCATTAAAAAATATAAATATTTAATAAATTGTGAACATTCTGACACTAATAGAAAGCATAATTACACCCTGATTAAAAAGTAAGCTCTCGATATTATAAATTAATGGCAAGTACATAATCACTGTACCTACTGCCAGGGCCCTTGAAAAGTTCTAGGCATGCGTTTTAAATCAACTCAGACTGGTCTTCGAGACTTGGTTGGCTAGCGAGAATCTTATATAGCTAAGGATGGTCCAGGTCCGAACAGAAACAATCACCGCTATGAAACTTTGTACTAATATAAACTAATGTTCCTTTCTAAAGCAACTGACCTATAACTTGACCTGTCACATTACATGTCAATGCTGCGCAAAGGTAAAATATTTCAGAACACATTTCTACACAACGTCATGTAGTCTCAAAATAAATAACGCCTGTACTATAGGTACTATCTAGTACTAACTAGATAACTGATAAACACACATTGCTTATGTAAATAAATACTATAATATATAATTATATTATAGAAATATATAAAAACGCAGACACTGGAATAACTCTACGTTCATCACACAATATATTTCCAGTGGGGATTTAAACCACAACATCTGGCGCAAGGCAAACGAGCTAGCGGCTCACCTGATGTTAAATGATAACCGCCACCCATGGCTATTTGCAACGCCCGTATGGTTTCAGTTGCGTTGCATCTGCAACCTGGGGTGGTAGGGCTACGCAGCAGCCTCGGCTGTTGCACGAATGGGCAGGCCCGTCCGGGTAAGTACCACGACCTCACAGAAGATCAGCGTAAAGTGGAAGGATGACAAATACTTTCGCGTTTCGTCTGGTGAGTGAGGTAGCCGGAGCCCAATTTTCAAAAGGTTGTCAACGCATCCGTAACCCTCGGGTGTGGCAGATGTCCATGGGTGGCGGTATTCACTTAACATCAGGTGAACCGTCTGACATGTTCATTTGACAACTTTTCGCATAAAAAAAAAAACAAAGTTTCACTACCCGCGTTGAATCGCGTTTTAAGGTTCTACGGGAGTCGATCTTACGCGCACTACAACAGGCGGAACTTGTCAACCGCATCCCCACCACGAATACCGCGTCATCAATAAAACAGCCCGGAGCGGACCTGTGTTTCCCGTTTATTGTTTACGTATTCCGTTTCCAGCGAGACAATGGGGGCTCAACGTCAAAGCTCGCCAACAGCGATCGGTAATGCCGCCTGACACATTTCGCTCGTAAATTTCAAATGCGAACTTGTTAATTCAGCACTCGTAGAGTCAGCGCGTCTAGCGGCGTCTCGTAAATTATCCCAGTATATTTTGACGTTATTAGTTGATTAATATAGCTAAGTTTGATCTATTTAACTCGCTGCCGTTTATCTCGGCAAAAGGATGAAGGTTTGGAAATAAAGTATTGCCGATTATATTGAGTGCTCGCTGATTGTATTGAGTTTGTGGGTTTGTTGTAAATTGCAATACGTGTTGTATTGTAAATTGAAATATATGTATTTCCTGTCTACAGTTTCGTATCTTGTGAAAAAGAAATATATTTATCTTATACTAGCATTTTGCCCATTCATCCAGTATCTTCGGCTGTTGCATTAGATTTGCATGCATCGATTGTTTCGATGTTTATGTTCGATCGATTCGATTGTTTATGTTCAGTGAAACGATCTGTGTAATCAAGGAGAAGTATAAGTTTAACCGTTTTTAGGGTTCCGTACCCAAAGGATAAAACGAGATCCCATTACTAATACTCCGCTGTCTGTCAGTCACCAGGCTAGGCTGTCTCACATGAACCGTGATCGTTAGATAGTTGAAATTTTCAAAGATGATGTATTTCTGTTGCCGCTATAACAACAAATACTAAAAACCAGAATTAAAAAAATAATTAAGTGGAACTCTGCGAGAGGCGGTTTCTATAGATTGATGGTACGTAACCGTTTGTGCGCGAGTCCGACTCGCACTTGGCTGGTTTTTTTTAGAAAGAAAGAAAGGGACACAAAAAGGGAAGCGAGTAAAATATGGCTATAATATACATAGGTTTGATAGAATTGAACAATCCATACGGTAACGATCTTTATATGTTTAAGTTCAATCTTCTCAGTGTTCCGAAAATTTCATCGAGGGTAATAAGCGAGTCCTAAGCAAATTGAAATTATCAAAGAGAAACATACCTGTGTGCCTGTGACTTTGTTGGTACTGCACGTTATTATAAAAATTTCACTACGTCACCACTTTGACGGGTTTCGGTAGAAGTTGCAAAAGAAAAATGTAACAGATGCTTGATCATCGGCGAAACGAGGGCCGACGAGACTGCGTTGGCTCGGCCACTTGGAGAGGATGGGGGAGGATCATGCCATCAGGAGAGCATATATGGGGCAACCAAAAGGGAAGCGCCCTGTTGGTCGCCCTAGATATCGCTGGAAGGATGTCCAGAAAGATCTGAGCACTCTCCGCGCAGTTAGCCAACTGGCAAGAAACAGCCCAAAATAGAGAGCGGTGGCGCCTTTTAGTGCCGGAGGCCAAGATCGTCTTTGTCACTGAGCCAACGAAGTAAGTTAAAGATGCTTGAAGTCTAAAAACAATTGTATAGTAATGGTAGAGCGGAGATATTGAAATTCCACTCACATTCCGTTTATACCTTTCCTATTTATTTATCTTAAAGCCGCGGAAGCTGTATAACTTGCGCTTGCTTGTAATTCAGTATACTTAAGCAATCTAGAGCTCGAATCCTAGTGCCGGCACCAATACGGCTAGGGCTGAGATGCTATTGAGTGCATTTAGGTGGCGCGGCGGTTAAGAAACACATTGTTAGTAAATCTGCATTTCTTCGAAATAAAGTAATATAGTAAAGTGATTATTTTTTAGGTTTCCTCACTAGCACTTGATAAGTCAGCTCTTAAAATTAACAGTTTCATTGGTGCCGGCACCGGGGATCGAACTCAGGTTGCTCGAGTAAATTGAACTAAAAGCGAGCGCCCGGACACTGACCTATCACGGCTCTTTGAAATAACTAAAAAAATATACAACTAGGATGTAAGTTAACAAACTGCTCTAATGTCTCTCCTTTGTACAAAGTAGCGTAATAACACTGAGACTCGTACGCATACTAGCAGTGTCGATGTTTTTCCTTGATTTTGTACGATTTCTATGCGTGGATATTTATGTCGTAACAGTAAATATTTTTTTTTATTTCAGCACCGCATCGTCGATGTGATTTAACGTTGCGCTCCCATCGAGATATATGTCGCCGTGTTAAATCATCCGCTGCGCGAAATAAAAATAAGCTAGAACGTTATTAAGGAAGGCGGTGTCGCAATTTGAATTATGAACGCGCGCAACATTGTGCTGCAACGTTTCGGGCATGCGTTGGCACGCGACAACCACTATATTTTTCGCCTCGTAGTATTAAATAAATATTGCACTGGCCGAAAAGAATTCAGCGAAGACAACATTCAGACGTTTAAAAAGAAAACGTTGTTTTTTAAATTCCCCACGTCACTCGGTATATCTGGAAACTTTGTTTTTTTTTTTACAGATATCGTGTGTGATTTACGAATTATAAATTGCCATCTTTCCTTTATAAATTACTTAAAAAAGATACTTATAATCAGAATAAACAAAACACGTACTGTAGGTGTATCTCTTAGTAATAATAATAATAATAATAATAAAATATCTTTATTCACATAGACGCTTGCGCGTTCTTATGAAACGTCAAAATTTTACAAGAAATTAACACGTTCGTAAGTTACCACAGTTACACGTTAGTGATTAACACCTAACAATTTAATGAAGCAGAATAAGATTAAATTAGGAATAACAATTTTGATTTGAAATTTTCAATATTGATATGAAACTGGATGTAATACCGGTAAACACACGCGACCGTGGAGAGAAATAGTTGTTTTCTTATTATTTTGAACATTCCGCCCATTGTAGCATTATAAGCCTCGCGTAAGCTTCTCTCATTTCGCGAATCTTCTGCTAATGCGGTGCACACGAATCGAAACGTTCACGCATTGCCTATTTAGATGTTTATTTTTATTCATATTATTTATTTTATATTTAATAATAATCGCTCGTCGCTCGTCACTTATTCCGCTCGCGCTCGCGACTTATATGCGGTGCACACGAATCAATATACCTATATCTATGTTGTTTATTTTTTATTTATAAAACCAACCGACGAGAAAACAAATGAATAACGCCCCATAATAATGAAAACAAAATAAGGACTACTTTATTTACACATTATATTAACAAGACAGGATAATATTATCATACTGTAAGATAAGAGGACAATTTTTTCGATGGTCTACAATATATCTACAACAGGTCACAGTGGTCGTTGGGAGTTACACCTTCCATACAAAATATAATTTTGAACAAAAAAAAAACCGAGTTCAAACACGAAACAGAAAGCATTGTCAACACTTATAACATTTGAGGATTACCCTCGATTTCTCTGGGATGCCTTCATCAGATCTGGGTTTCCTTATCATGGTATCACCCTTGGGATATCTCCTTTCCAACATAAAAAGAATCATCGAAATCGGTTCATAAATGACGAAGTTATCCAGAACACACATAATAAAACCTCTTTTTTTGAAGTCTTTTAACAAATACATTAAAAATACCGTCTTCACGGTTTCGCCCAGGCAACGGTGATCCCTGACCATCTTATGGAACTTTGAGCATTTCTATCTTGATATGTAAATAAATAACATAATGCCATATAAATAAATAACACGGCCGGTACGGCTGAAGCGCAGTTTAATTTAGCTAATGCGTATAATCCATTTGACTGACGAACGTTTGCATACTGGCAAACCGAGGCGCAGTATTTGCTTATACCCCTTTTGGAAATTAATTTCTGTTGCTTTATTATCTCACTAGCTGTTTACCGCGTCTTCGCCCGTGCGGTCGAATTGAATTACCAATGAGTTTTTATTATGCACCAGAATAGCTCGTAGATGCCACTTATCGTTATATTTTGGACAATTCACACAATATCTTTATAATAATAGCTATAATACCGTAAAATTTCATTAAAATCAATTTTGTAGGTTTTGCGTGAAATAGTAACAAACATCCATACGTACAAACTAAGCAATCAATAAATACAACATCCTAAAGAAAAATATCATAAGTAATTCATGATAAACGTTTTAGTTTTTTTATTTCCATGTTATGAAAACAGAATACATGTTGTTTTGAATAAATATAAATAAAATGTGTTTTTCTTTGATAAAACTTAAGAAATTTTAGTATAAATATCATAATTTATTGGTTTGTTAGTAGCGCAGATCTACGTTCCGACACAACAGTCTGAACACAGATCTCCGTTCCGACACTGACTACACAGGATGTTTCAATTTTCAAGTAAGTTCCTTTCCTACTTCCAATAAAAAAAAATTCAAAGTAATTTTTATTGTGCTATTCTAGGCACTTAAGACGAAACAATAAAATTTGTAGCAAAAAAGATTTTATTGATGTCTCCGTGCCAAGATATTTGCTTCGGCGTCGGGGGTCGTGGGTTCGATTCACACACGGGACAACTATTTGTGTGACCCACAGATAGTTGTTTCGCAACTGGGTGTTTGTCCGCGTGAAACTTATGTTTGTAAAACGTCCTTACAACACAGAATCAACTAAAAAAATCTACATTGTTTTTTCGCATTCCAAGCATAGCTTGGTGCATTTATATAAGAATAAATGCACCTTAAAATAAACCCATCCTTTACAGCATACAAACTATTTAAATTTCACACTGCAACGGTCTATAAAAGGCACAGCGCTAGCCGTGTTCGAGGCCAATCCTTTAGTCGTAGGTGGCGTCATCTAAAGACCCTTACCGCTAGGTACGTTCCGTCGCAAATGGCGCAGACCACGACACGTCCTCGATTTCCATGAAGATGAGACGACTATTGCCATCGACAGGATAGAACATTAACGCAAACACACCAGATCACACCGCATTCGCCGGCGAGTAGAAGCGTCGTTGGAGTTTCTTCCGCCACTTCTCCCAGCGCCAACGCTTTCCGGCATGGTAGTCATGTTAGACTTAGAAATTCTTCCAGTCAGACAATAGCTACCGATTGAGCCGAGGTCTAGCCTTCTTCGGCACCCTCGAATCGAAATGCTAAACGGGTATTGAGTGACAGCTCAATCTGAGATCCCCTCACGTGGGCCCTTGAGCCTAGTCACTCCATGGA